AGTAAGCAGAGTAGATGATGTTCTAGAGGCAGCGTTCAATCAGCGACCGATACCCGTAACACATTACGGGGGGAGACACCACAGATACGCACAACCGACGCCCGAAGTGCCAAGAAGGACGTCATTAGTACGAAACCTCAGAAGGCCATGGGCGCCGAGAGAACATTCCCCCGAGAGGACAAAACAGAAAAAAGAAAAAAGTCGACGCACCCCCTCCTTGCGCAGTGTCCCTCGCTATGTGTCGCCGCTATCGGGGCACGCTATCCTGCGCAGGCAGGGCAAGCGGGGGCGGGGGGCACTCCCACAGACGTATGTATCTGTGGTGACTGTCTCCAGTCTTGGAGGGGGGCAAGAAGGTAAGAATATCTAATTTTTGAGCTCTCCAGAAGACTGGTGCCTCATATGCTGCCCCCCTGCGGATGCTGCCGGCGAGCCTGGCGGTCCGCTGTACTACAAGGAAGTGTTGACTCGATTCTACCTCGAATTCTTCTACCCCCACGACTCGGAACGCGAATGTGACAGGACCAATTGGTCCTTCAGCCACCAAAGCGGGATCACCCGAGAGCAGCTGAGCCTGCCTCTGGCCTCGCCTCCCTCTCCTTCAGGCATTCGTGGCATCCTATGGGTCGTCCAGAGTATCGACCTCTGGCTTGTCAGCCGTCACTTGATGACACCATGAAGTATAGCGATCGCCATCTCGCTGGCCTCTCCGCAAGGCCCCCCGACCGCGTCGAACTCATCGGCGCGGGCTCTCTCGGCTACGGGACCGGCCCCAGCTTCGGCTGAGTGAGGGCTAACCAGCTGCCGAGCTCAAATCCTGTGCGATTTCTTGTTGGTCTTCAAAAATCTCCCGCAAAGTGTGTGTGGGGCTCAACCGCTCAAGCTTAAGTCCGGCTGGACTTTGGCGCGGCAGGGGGGCGGCCGGTGCCAGCAGAGTGAGAGCGCTCGAAGATCTTCTCTCCGGAAAATTCTTTCCTCGATCACTGTCGCCTGGCGTGCCTCCCTGGAACCCTGCGCCATCGCGTCAAAGAGCTCCAATGGGCGCCAGCGACCTCCGAGGAGTCACTAACGACGCCTTCTCTGCCTACTACAAGCAGCAGCTTGGGCTGACCGATCAGGAGTGGAGCGCTTTGGAGGCGTGCCTCCGCTCGCCTCTGCCTGTCACCTGGCGCTTCAGCGGCAACGACGAGCGTGCGATCAGCCT